AAAGACAGAAACATATAAAAGCAACGACCACCAATGGTTTCATCCTGTTCCCTGCTCCAGGGAAAAAACATGGATTCATACACAAAGATGGATTTCTTCAATGTCCATCCACAGTGTGGATTTCTTAAATCCAAAAGTCGGAGACTCACTGGATCCAGTAACTGTGCTCCCCCACACCCAAGATCTCCCTGCTGCTGGTATCTGGCATGTGAGCCCCTGGGGCCCACAGCTCCACTGCAGCCACTGAGGCACAAACTGCCCTGCGCACACACCAGCCCCATCACATGCACACAGTCTCTATGGATCCCCCCTACACACTCACTCTTTGCTCAACCACTTTGATCCCTGCATCTTTGGCCCTTCCTCCATTCATCTCAAAATAAGTCCTGTGCAATCCCAAAATGTTCTTCTCATATATCCCAGGATGGGTCCCATACCCCTGCAGACTGCCACCACCTCCCCCATCCTGTAAGCTCTAAAGAGCTGCTCCCATAACACATCAGTGGCTGTCAGAGCAGAGCCCTGGCAGGGGCTCATATCTCTGGGTTCATTGTTGATGTCGCTCCACCTTTATCTTGTGTTAATTTGTAGGTGGACATGAGACTTCTGACGCAACAGAAGAACTTAAATAAGAGTGTGGACAGCTAATAAGTATCTTGAGGCCCTGCTACTTAGCCCATCCGAAGACACAAGGGATGTACAGGTTCACTGTAACGGAGATTTCCAACCCTAAGGAAAAAGTGGAAACTTAAGCCAAGTATGCCACTGTATCCAATTTTTCCAACTGAAGAAATTTTTACCTTACCACAATGTAAAGTGAGTCTGCCTCAAAGTTCTGTCCTATTTTTAGCTCACTGGTCTCCTGCCTCATACTGCAAGCTGCAAACAGCACTGCTTTTAAGTCTTCCACAAGCCTCAAGGAACCTGAAATTTCTTTTAGTGTTCTGTTATCAGAAAACAATACTGACATCAGTGGAAACATAGGAGAAATGTTAAAGGAAAATATTTAGAAGTAAAGGCAAACTTTGCAGGGGATAGAAAAAACTTCTCATTTTCTATAACAGTTAACTCTGTTGCAGATGTTGGGAAAAAAACTGATATTTGAGACTAATGGCAAAAAGGTCTATTCAAGCCACTAGCATGCATGAACCCAAGATGCAGTATGGTGAAGCACTTAAGATACTTTTTCATCTCATACAGAAAGCAGTTTTGAACACAACATCCAAGTCATCTTGAAACTCCAGAAAAACTTCCTCCAAGTACATTCTGGAAGACTCTGTTTTAAAAGTGTCAGAGGAAACTATTTCACTGCACAGAACAACTTTGAATGCATGAGGTTGTAGTGAGGCAGCTGATAGTGTAAGATCCACCTACCTAGGCTCACAGACTAACAGCCAAATCCACAACACCCCAAACTTCTGACAAATGATGTAACGCTTAGAATTACAGTACATTACTTCTTGAGGTGGAACTCACCACCCTGAATTAGGCACCAAAGAGCCCTTCTTCACTAACTGGCATTCACAACCACCCCATGACTGGTGCCAGGCTTGAGTAACCCAGTAAAAAACAGCTAAAAACTAAAACAACAAACAGACAAATCCCAGCAGACACCAGTACAATAGAAGAGTTTCTGATGAAGTCAAACATCTTATTGCTACTTGGGACAAATGAATAAAAGAGAGGGAGGTCTGCACTTATTTCTCCTTAGATTTTTGAGCACTCTAATTATGCAACTGAAGCATCATCTTTCTGTTCTTCTGGAAGGAAACTTGCCATCTTGGCTGTACAGTAGCTCCTTTTCAAAGAGAGGTCTGGAGAGATTTCACACACTCTTCGTCTGCATTATCTGTCACTGCAACAGCACTCTATTCAGAGACTGGAGATGTGGGTTCAAACCACCTCAAACTAAGGAGATTAACATAAATCTCCCACTGCCTGGGAATGTGCACTAACAATATAACTCATATCTCTTATGTTTCAGCAAAAAAGAAATGTGGTTGCTGGCCATAATGTCCTAATTTGTACATTAGCCATAGCCTAAGAATACTTACTAAACCAGATCCTTGAAGCAAAGCAGATCTGAAACCCAGTGGGTGACAGGCATTTGAAATACCTACGTTCATCCCTGTCCAGATGGAGTACCTCCCTGGGGCATTTGGCTCCCTGAGCATCAGCACTTATCCAAAATCCCAGGCAGGAACACAACAGACTACTTCAGCACACCAGCTTACGCAAACAAACTGAGATGCAGCTGAGGAAATATTTAGTCTACAACTACAGCCTTCCAAGTTAACACTAACACAGATTTACAGTAGCAAGATTGGTTTTTTTTAGTTACAGAAAAAATCACCTGAGAGTGGCAGAGTCAAATTTACGAAATACAGGCAATAGTGTTCAAAATCATGAACTGATTTTCCTTTCTACTTTGAAGACATGCATCATTTAACTCCAATATAACAAAGAATGAGTTCCAACAGAGCAAAGCTGCTACAACAAGCCTCCGAAATGGCTTTTTTGCATCTGATGTAAAATAATTCCTCTGAGTTACATGTTTCATGAAGAGTTACTCCATTAGTGAACACAAAAGACTCAACAGAAAATGCAAACCAAACTTTTCACCATGATAGGAACAATTTAACAAAACACCTGTAATTAAAATTCCAACTAAATTTTATAGCTATGTAGATATTAATCTTTAGGCTGAAAGAATCAATCATTAACTTTCAAAGCTGTTCAGTGCAGTGACTTCAGTATCGTGTGTTTCTTTTTCTTAGAATGGACTTCAACACTTTCTGACAGACCCTTGCAGCGGTGGTACCCCCCCCAGTTTCTTCATTTGCTGACAGGACAAAAGCAAAACTGAACAGAAAAACAAGAAATGCTTTGAGTTCTACGACAGCACTCTCCACGGCCATGCCAAGATACCTTTTCCCCAAACTTCTCTTGACAACTGCTCTGAGAAACCTTTCCATCCTCACTTCAAAATGTACTTTTACCTCAACAAGATGCTTACAATTCTGAGCTAAAGTTGTTTACTTTCTGTAAAAGCAACATTGCTATTCTAATCTGCATCGCATTCTTCACATTGTTTTAGGATCAGTTATCTTGAATTGTGGCTTTTGTAAGGCAGTTCACCACCAGGGGGGTTGAAACTCACAGCTTCCTCAGATGATCTGTGCTCTCACGCTGAGAAAAAAAAAAATTCTATCAACGTAATCTAATAGGAGGAATGGTCTCTCGACTTGATCTTTCAACTAGAAAAATGTAATTATGAACTTAAATATTCCCAGAAGGGGTGGCTTAGAAGCGATGAAATATATTGGTAGCTTCAATCACTGACATAAAAAGCAAGTAATTTATCCAGATGCCTCTAGCACCCGTGGGTTGCTATATAAAAGCTGCACATTAGTGCAGTGAGATCACTGCAAATATCAATGAAAAAACCAAAAATGGTATTCGCTCTTGTCACCAATACATGACAAGCTTCAGGAAAATTCCTACCTTTTATACTGCATGTTATCATAAATATTCAAATAGGAATTAATATTGAATTAAGGTTCTTTGATGTAAGATGGTACCTTAAAAAAAAACTAAAAAGCAAAATTTATATCACTTTGTCTGGTATTTCATTTGTTTCTACGACTGAATTTTCATAACCCAAGTAAAGTGTATTTATTTTCAAGCTGAGACATATGGCCTCTGAAATTTACTTGGGCTTGATTTTGTCCTTTTTACCTAGAGGATATTTTGTACACATAATTATATTAATAGACACTGGCTTTTACTGCAGGCTGTAAACATCCAGATGCTAATCTCCCACCCTGTATCCATCTCAAACACCCTACTTCACCATAAAGAAAACAAGTCATGCATCTGCACAACATATGCCTTCAAACCATTTTCCATTCAAGATTTTTTTTGTTACGTTTTGTTTTTAACAGTAATGGGACTGGGGATTCATGTGCAGGGAGCAGGGATCGGCAGAAATTCTGCGGTGGACCCGAGTAGCAGCTGACCCAATCCAAAAGCCAGCGCATCTGGTGTCTACCAGCGCTTCCCAGCACACCGCAGAGTCAATCACTGTTAAGCCAGCAACAGAGCGAGCCGATGTACTTGGGTCTCACCAGGACAACCCAAGTTACAGCACTTGGAACAAAGAGGATGCGTGTGATGAAGTCACTGGCAGGGTAAGAACTCGGCGCCGAGCGTTCCGGTGTCCCGGCCGCAACGCACCGGCCAGCCCACGTGCAAAAAAAAACCAAAAAAAGAAAAAAAGAAAACTTTCGTAAATTTTCTCCATTACTTCTTCATGCTACCTCTGTCTCGTGCCCGGAAAGTGGTTTGGGATTCTTCTCGCTCATTATAACAGAGCTTAATCTGGTTTATATTACCGACAGCGTGCGGCATCCTTCGGGGCTCCGGCTCCTCTCTCTTCCCCAGAGAGGGACGCCCAGGACTGCGGCCCGTGCCCGGCTCTGACCCCATCTCCCGCCGGGACAGAGGCTCCGCCGGGGACTCCCTGGGCCCCGCAGCCGTCCCCTGGCCCAGGAGCGGGGGGTCGCCCCCTCCTTCCCCGGCTCTCTGCCGCTCCACAGCGTCTCCCACAAAGGGAGTGGGCGGCCCCGGAGGCGGCCGGGCGGAGTGGCCCCCGCCGCCGAGGGAGGAGAAAGGACTTCAGGAAAGTGGGGGAGGGCGGCTGCAAAACGTGGAGATGGGGGAAGAGAACAGGGATAAAAGAGATGGGGGAGGCCGTCGGGAAGCGTGCGGTCGGCACTGCCGGACCTCAGCTCGCCTCCCACAGCGGGCTGCCTCCGCAGGCCAACGCGGCTCCCGCTGCGGCCGTGCCCGGCGGGGACGGGGACACTCTGCCGAGGCTGCCCCAGCCCCGCGGGGCCAAAGGCTGCCACGGGAAGCGGCGGGCGGCTGCAGACCAGCCCCGCAGGCACTGCCCTGCTTTTCATTGCCTTGCTCACCCCCGCACCCCCGTCTGCGCTCACCTCGGGGCTGGCCCTGCCCCGGCACCCACAGCAGCGAAGTCGCCGCCAGCAGTGCCAGCAGCAGCCGCCGCCCGCCGCTGCCCATCGCTGATGCCGCCGCTGGAGGGACGCTGCCCGCCCCGCCGAGCCCGCCCGCCTTATATGTGCTCCCCCGCCGCCCCCGGCCCGCCCCGCCCCGCACCACCGGGGGCTCGCTGGCACACCCCTCCTCACACACCCCTCACACATCCCTCCTCACACACATCCCTCCTCACACACCCCTTCGCACACCACTCCTCACACACACACACACACGCGGTCCCCCCTCCTCACACACACACTGTCCCCTCCTCACACACACACTGTCCCCTCCTCGCACGCTCACACGCTCCGGGACACCGCGCCCCGCACCGCGCGCGTCCGGCTCCGCTAAATCGCCCCCGATGCACTTGCGGTCCCGACCGCATCTTGCGGGTGATGCGCGGGGAGCGGCGAGCCCGAGCCCCGTGCCTAAAAAGTTCTGGGAAGCCGTAGTTGTCGAACTGAGGATTTTTTTTTGCAAGGAAGAGGAGGAAGGGAAAGGTGAGTGTGCGAAATAACAAGGTAAAAGTGTGGGAAGGGAGAAAGCTCCAAGAAGATTTTCCAGATGGCTGATATTTTCACGTGTGAATACATAAATGAATAAATAAATAAATAAAAGTCTGTTACGGCTTTCCTTATAAATTTCTCATCCTCACCTTTGAAACTTCGTTCACGTGCTGATAGTTTTCCAGCTCCTATTCCATATAACCACAGCAGATCAGCCATGTTTGTAAATTAAATGAGCTCTCAGCTGCTAAACTATCAAGTTGATTACTTTTTGTCCCACAGGAAATCTTTGCAGGTTTTTGATAATCAGCTAGCAACTAGCAACTTATGAAACTAGCATAAAACATAGCAAAAAGGCTGTAGAGATTTCTAAAGATAGATTCATTTATTCGGTGCTTCAGGAAAGTTCATCTCCATTAGGCTTGACTGCTTTAAGGTTTGTCAGGTCACAGAGCTTATATCTACAATACTCCTTAATGAGTATTTCAAGGAAGGTGCAGCAGGGAACACTTTCCTGGGAAAAGAACTCTAAGCCAAAAAATCGGTTAAGGCAGGGCAATTTGAGTCAACAGATACCATCTCTCAAATGTGAATTCCCTAAAAAAGTATGCTTGTTTAAAAAATGCTGTTTATTTTTTAGGAAAATCTTGTGCTCCTTTCTGGTGTATTACACTGAAAACCATATTTCAAAATGCAAAAAATATGTGTGAGCTGCATGAGCAGAATTTGGCTGTGATTCTTCAAATTGTGGGCAGCTCTTTGCAGAGTTTGGACTTCAGTTTGGTCGGCTGGAGATTTTTTGATTGATCAAGGAAGTCAGGGTAGTCAGGAAACTCAGGAAAATAATAGTGAGTTACATATTTTACATAAAAGCAATTTCTTATCATGTAACTCAGATAACTATATATTTTGATTATAAACATTGCTATACTTTCTCAAGTATAACTTGTGAGTTATACTTGAGAAAATATAGCAATGTTTATATTCAAAACATAGACAAAGAGAAATATCTATGGGTCAAGGAGATATAAAATGAAAAATTTCTTCCATAAAACCTTATCAAAGGCCTTCAAGCCTGCAAATAAATAACACTCCACATCTGTCCCTTCCAACAGATCCATTCTTTGCTCTCACCAGGAACTTCTTAAATTTCAGGACAAGCAAGGAGGAGCAAAGCAAAACATCTGTGGAGAGAAAAGTCAACAAATTTCAAGAGCCAAAGTGTCGTTTGGTCTAAAATCATAGAGGTCAGGTTAAGGAATCTTCTGTGCAGGATCATAAGCACCAGTTGGGAGCCAAGTACAAAGGAAAGGGAGAGAGGGAGCATCTGCGCAACATAAAATCTGCCAGTTTACAGCTTTATGATCAGTTTAACTATTTCTTCAAGTAACAGCAAGCTGAAGAGCACTATGTTGCAACCATGCAATGATAAATGCCAGTTTATTATTACATGTATTTATCCTCATCAGAATATTACACAAGAGCTATGAAATGTAAATTGAGATCCCTCTCTGGACTTTATCATCTGAGTTGATTATTATAGTTTAACTAAACATCTGTATACAACTAAAAAAAATCTCCATCTGATTAGTTTGTGGGGGGATATCACCATTGTTCAGTGCCTATTATAATAATTTCCTAAGAAAAGGGATTCTTCTGAAATTTCATTTCAGTATGTACATTCTTGGAGAAGATGATTACAGTGTTTTCTATTGCTCCTTTCCCCCAGTTCATTGCTGATATTACAAAGCACCAGGCAATCAGAATGGTCCTCGTTGCAAGGTACAGAGCCATTAATATAATTTTTTCCTAGCATAGGTTTCTAATGATCTTTGAACAATTATGAGGATAGATGAGAATCTCAGCTTCTTAAACAAGTGTAACTTCACATTTACCCTGAGTGAGTGCAGCAAGTATTGCAAGGAGATTAGACATTTCTTGGTCTTTGACAAACCAACCCAATGAGAAAATGGAATGCCGTGGTACAGGTAAGACCACGAATGAGTGAAGAAATGTGTGCAAGAATGAAAGCGTTTTAGAGCACTTTTGTGCATGTTTATACATTCCCCGAAAACCATCTGCACAAACTGAAATTCTGAATGCTACTATGTCACATATGCATGACACAGCTAGTAGAACTACGCATTCAAATAGTACAGGAAACATCTATATTTAAAAAAATTAAATTGCTGCTGCTCCAGCTTCACTTGAAAGAAAGACAGAGATTGCAGAGACTTTAGGAACCTTTATATCCAAATGCTTCACACTTAATGGTCTTGCCAATTAAAATGTACAACAAAATAAAACAAGGAAACAGATTTGAAAGGTAAGAAAAAATCTGTGAATACCTGGAAAAATAGAGATGTGGTTATAGGGATGTGGTTTTTTCTCTCACCTATTTTCATTAATTGCATTTGTCTTAATGACTGAGTGTTTCAGTTGCAAAGGAATAGAAAATCCTGATAGTTAGGATGGTGTAGTGCAAAGTGGATATGTTAATGCAACCATCCACAGATAATAAACTATGGACAAAAACGTTGCCGTTGGCAAAAGCAGAAGTTTGGGAGAGTTCAAAACAGAGAAAACCCAGAGTCTGAATAGAACCACTCTGCTATCCTGCACATAAGTAAACTCCAAGAGAACACCAACTATGTTTTTTCAGCTTTTGTCTGTGTTGCAGTGCTAAAGGCAGAGCTATTGTGTTAATGGCAGGTTCCCTTCAGGCCCCTCAGGAGCACGAGGTCACCTCCTGACCCCAGAGGGCAGCGGGGGCACTCATAGCTGTCAGCGGTGCTGTGCTTTTCCTCATCCATAGCATTTAATAACTTGCATATCCCACCATCCCACCTTACCATCCATCCCGCTCCCAATGCATTTAGGGACATTTCTACACTTGTGAACACCACTGCAACAGCTGCTTGAATTGGGGTAGGGAATTTGGCATAGTTTCCAGAAGGAGGTATACTGCTATAACCAGGAGATAATCACACATGAAGCTACATCAAATGGCTAAATAAGATTTTTTTTTCTGTAGCTGTACTGTACAACAAAGGGTTTCTAATTTTTGTTGGGCTTTTTGCACATACTTGGAATCCATTCTGCCTCTCTGCCTCGTAATCTCATAAGCACCTCCCGAGTGTTCTGAAAAAGCATTTTGGAAATTATTATCACTTGTAATCAGAGGTAAAAACAATACAATAAACTGCCTGTCTGCCACTAATATAAACATTCCGTCACTACTAAAAGCTGGTTTAGATAACTTTTCAGCTGTTCCCCAGAACTCTTCAAGTATTTCTCTCTCTCTCTCAGAGTAGGATGTCCAGAGGTTAATAAATCTGAGCTGTGACAGATTAAAGAGAGGAGTAAATTCAAAGCAAAAAGCTCTTCACAGCACACCCTGCCTACAACTTCCTCTCAACAGAGACACTGCCTCGGCAACTTGACAGGCTGGAAGTGCAACCCAGTAAAGAGATGTAGACCAAGACATCCCTCAGGTTCCTCCTGGTATTCCACAGCTGCTTCAGCAGCAAAAGTCTTTGCCCTTTCTATTCCTGAAAGTGATCTCTAGCTGTAATTTGAATTCCACATTACTTGGTTCTGAGAAGACAAAGGCTTCCATGAGGATTTAAGAAAAACTGCTGCTTCAGAGGAATCTGGGAAACAGCTGCTCCAGGAGCCTGCACTGCACAGGTCAGTGGAAAAGGGACAAGCAAATTGAGTGCCTCCTGCCTAGCCAGAAAAGACACTACATCAGCTGCCCCCAAGAGCAAGGTCCCACAAGGGCTTGGCTACTCCGTGGTACAAGCTTCACTGACCTCAGGAGTTGCCTGAACTGAAGTGCTCACCAGAAACAGGGTTGGCTTTGGAGAAAAGCAGGAGCTCCAGGACAGTCTGGATGCCACAAAGGGGGTGCAGAACAAAACAGGAAACTCTGTAAATTGGTACTTTTCTTAGAACCATAATTGCCACAACAGAGATGTTTTTTAAAAACTTGAGCTATCATCTATGCCTGGTATATGGCCCCACATTCATGCACCTCCATCCCTCACACTGACATCACCTAGGATTAGTGGTACCCTTCCATCCAGCTTTCCAGGGGCTGTGAACAGTCTGTCACACCCTCCTATTACCAGCTGTAATCTATGCCAGGAGCTAAAGGCAGAGGGTCCAGACACCCGGACAAGCTGCTCAAAAGAAGGTACCAAGGTCTACAGCAAAGAGGTCCAAAGCCCTGCCAAGAAAGGGGTGTGGGCAGGAATTAGAAGAGCACAGAAGGATCATCAGAGCCTGGTTGTGCGGGGTCCTTCCCCAATTTAAACAAAAAAGGCACAGCAGCTAATAGCTTAATAAAAGTGCTTTCATAATAGGATACTAATAAGAAGACGAATATAGACTGTAATTCCTAGATTTCTTCATCCTGGGAACCTGCTTTGATGGAGCATTGGATAGACCCAGTGACAGCAGCGCAGTTCTCAGACTCTCTGCTTTGAAATGAAATACAGAACTATTTTATTATAT